TAAACTTCTGAATGACAAAAAACGCGTTTAAACGGCTCTTTTAACGATCGTTCGCTAACGCGTTCGGAAAAAACGCGTTTTTCGTGTCGTTTCTAACGATTTTTTTTCGCCTGGGTATACTCGTATATAATATCTCAAGATTAAGAAATGTCCGATGAAAATATTATCATGGAACTCAGCATGCTCGATCGCTTATAGTTTTGCAGTTTTTGCGGTCCTCACAAGTCAGTAGATACTAGTCGTTGGATTTCGATAATTTTTCTTACTATTAGAAAAGTTAGCACGTTCTATTCTGAAACCGAATCTGTAGATGGTGCGCCCCTACAAGTCACCTAAAAACTACGTTTAGTACTAAACGAAAACCAGATTTAGAATAAAAAAGATAATCGCTGATGTTTATTCTATTAGAGAGTGCTAGGCAAGGGAATTAAATTGATTTTTGATGATCATTTGTATATAGGATCATAATCAAATACATTTCTTTTAGTCTTTTAGATATATCTGTTTTATCCTAGTTTCTACTTACCAATGACTGGTAGCAGTGAATATCATGGAGTAATAGGCGTAGATCGTATTCATGGTAAAATTGATGAAGATCTTTTGTTGTGTTCAATATGTCATAACGTTCTTTGGAACCCCGTAGCATGTAAATCGTGTGAAAATGCATTTTGTACACTATGTATTCATACATCTTTAAAAGAAAAAAATAATTATTGTCCATTTAATTGTTATTTTGAAGAACGTAAATGTCCACCATGTATATCAATATTATTATCAAAATTACAAATTGATTGTTGTTATAAATTGAATGGTTGTACAACCATTGTCTCATATGAAAGATTAGATGAACATGAAGAAGAATGTAATTATCAGCCGTTGGAATGTGAAAAATGTCATAAACAAATGTTAAAACAAGATTTTGAACAACATCAACAAGAATGTGAATTGATCGATCTTACTTGTAATGAGTGCCATGTAATTTATAAACGCAAAGATTTAAATCAGCATACAGAAATTGAATGTTTACAAAATCAGTTTGAACAACAACAACAGATGATTGAAAAGAAAATGAATGAAAATGAAGATATTGTGAAAAATATGGAAAAAGAAACACAACATCTAGTGCGTAAGTATAATATCGTTTGAATCTCATTTTATTCAGAATTTTTTATTTTTGGTCTAAACATTTATTAGAGATCTATCGCCAAATTCATTGTAGATCTCAATTCTCAATACAATGCGTATAAATAGCACTGATAAAAGAAGATTAGAAGAAAAATGGATAAAAAAAGAAAAAAAAGAGATGTATGACAAAAAATTGGTGTGTGAAAAGAGCGAAACACAAATATAATCAGAATTGTATTTAAAAAAAAATTCTTTAGTTGTACAGTGTATACATGTGTTTTTATTTTTTCTCACTTTGGTTAGAGAGTCAAATGACTACGATGGATACAAAATTAGAATTAGTTGATGAAATACTACGAATGGAACATGAAACACAACAAAATGAATTTGAACAAAAATTTCAAACTCAACAAGATCTGTTTGATGAAAAACAAAAATTAATGGAAAAGAAACTAAATGAAAATGATGAAAAATATAATATGATGCTCGAAAATATAGAAGAAGAAATTCAACAAATAAGACGTAAGTTAAGAAAATGTTGTATCTTCACTGCATAGTGCTGAACTCAACACTTGTTGATTTCAATCTTAGCCAAAAATTCGATTAGTTTTAAAAAATGATAGTAATGCTAATGAAAATGGTACTAATGCTAAACTATGTAAAGTAGATCTAGATAAGCTGTCGAAATCAGTGAGATATGCCGGTAATCCAAGATTTTAGCAATATTTTTTCGTTTTATCCACCGTGGTTGGATAGAACTCATTGAGTTGCATAAGAAAATGTTGACAAAATTTGTAGAAACATTTCTGAACTAAAAGGCGAAATTCTGATTAGAAATATTTTTTAACAAAAAGTATGCCATCCGACTCAGCCTTTGTGCTGAGCCAAATATTTTCTTTTTTATGTTGCTTTCAAATGAGATTTTGAAGTTGAAAAACTGAATTTAGAGGCAAAATATCTCGCTTTTTGGCTACTAATGTTAATGATCGAAGGACGGCGTTCAATGAGAGGCAAAATCGGTCTTCTTAAGGATCAAGCTTATATTAACCAATCTGATGTAGTTTTTGTCCGCGATTAACCCCAACATATTTTTCGACCCTAAAAATCGTTTTAGTGCGCTCCTGGAAAGATTTTAGCAAAAAACAAAGCCTTTCTTACAATAAATGAGTTTTACGCAGAGTATTTCATTATTTATCGCTTTTGCTTAGAGCAAGCCTCAACTATCATATACCGTTCGATAGAGAACTTCACGAGCTACAAAATGGGCTACAAAACATTATTTTAGAAGTTTGCCTTCGTAAATGTATTAGACAAATACCTGACAGATATTTTGATTTTTTTGCCTATAGTGACACATAAAAATCGTGACACGACGTTTCCCCGAACGACATTACAGTATGGAATAAGTTCGAAAAGTAGTTTCACACAAAACATATTTTCATGATGCGAAACTCTATATGGGTCAATCATGCTGAAAGGAAATGCTTCCCTTTTCACTTCCCAACACTTCCCATTTTCAAAAAATCCTTCTGGTGTCTTTGAAAAAAAAATTACATTTCATTTTTCGCCACCAGTTCAACAAAACCCATTTACCGTTTTCCGCAAATTTCTCGTCCGATTTCAAAACCCTTGAGCAAAGCGCATACATAGTAAAATAGAGAATTTTCTGGGCTTCAAAATAAGCTATAAACGAGGTTTTCAAAAATATACCCATACAGGACAATTTTGTCGAAATACTAGACAAATATCATCAAGTTCACCTATCTTAGTGCTCTAAAGGAATATTTCTTGAACTCATCTCCTCAGACCCGGAACGTTTTATATACAGAAAGTAGACTATTTTCTAGGCTTCAAAATAAGCTATAAATGAGCTTTTCAAAAATGCGTCCATATAGCACAATTGTCGAAATACTGTGCGTGTGTAGTGATTTTGCAGATTATAAGGCCTAGAACACAGTGGCCAATTTTGCCTAGGCATGTGGACATTGGATTTTAAAGCGCTGGAAAGATCTCTCAGATATGTTTTTGTAGGTTTTCGAGTGTGCTCTTTCTAATGGAGTCACTGACAAAGTTCAAAATTCATGT